TGGTGGTGGTGGTGGTGGTAGTAGAGTAGTAGTAGGAGGAGTGGTAGGGGTGGTAGTCGTGGTCTTTGCTGGCGTAGTAGTAGCAGCAGTCGTCATAGTAGTCGTCGTAGTAGTAGTAGTAGTAGTAGTAGCAGCAGCAATAGTAGCAATAGTAGCAATAGTAGCAGCAGTATCAGCAGCAATAGCAGTGGCAACAGCAGTAGCAATAGTAGCACCAGCACTAGCTGTAGTAGTATGGGCATAGTGGTGGTAGTAGTCGTCGTAGTCGTAGTAGCAGCAGTGGTGGTATGATGTGAGCAACTCTGAAAGGATGACATGTGGGCCACATTATGTACCTGAATCCTCAAGTGGGACCCCAATTAATCACCTCCGCCTACCATTGAACGTCGCTCCCTTGGGGTATGTGTTTAATCTTGGGGTGATGTATCCGCATGTACCCATAATGTCTCCGAGGGGTTACCCGCTTCAGCTCCTTGTGGCCAGGCCGTCCATGGCTGAGATTGGCTTCATCGGAAAGGCATTGGGGTTTAGGGCATCGGGTTTCGGGTTTAGGGAGGCAGAGATTCTGATGGCTGATGGCATTGTAGCCTTCAGCTACACTGTAGAGGCCTGAATAGTTAGGAAGATTACCCTCCTCATGTACAGTAAGGGCGGCACAAAACATACTTAACAACTTCTTCTCATAGCTGTGAAAAGGGCTGAAAGATGTCACTTTCTGCCTCGAGACGCCTCTGCTTGCAGGCCCCGGGCACCTACAACATGTACCTGGGCGAGGGCCTTGGTTCAGGGTTCAGGGGAATTTGCTTTGCTGTGCAAAGGAAGTGATGGCAGCTCAAAAACGGCACCGGCAGCTCAGCCAGTCTCTTTGAGGTGTGATCTTTGAGAGCACACGCAACAGTAAGAGCCTGACTGCTTTCAAGGGCACAATCCTGCATGACCCAGCTCACCTCAGCCTAGGGTTTGCGCTAGTTTAGTGTACTCTTCGGGCCATGAGGGGTTTGTACATCAATAGTTGTCTTCACATGGAGGCACCAGCCCCAATCCTAAACCTTGAACCTATACCCTACACCCCAAACCCTGAGCCCACTAAACCCCACAACCCTACACCCTTCAAAGCGCTAAAACTAAAACCCCAAAGCCACAAGCTCACTAAACTCCACACAGTCATTCTAGAAACTGCAATCCTACATGCCAAGCTAAATAAACCATTCGAGTTAGCCCTGTTGCGACCAAAGCTCACCTTTAGGTGCCGACTTCGTCGGCCAGCGCCTGAACACTCTCTATGCCGAGTCCGTGAATGAGGCAGCGTTGTCGGTTCAGCATTTAGGGTTCAATGTTTGGAGCTTTGGGTTGGTGTCTTCCAGGGTCATGGGTATGGTTTAGGGGCAGTTTTCGTTTATCCACAGTATGGGGCTGTCAGGTGTGTGTGGGATTCTGTGGGATCATGATAGGGACGATCGGATCTTCTCATTGTCGCTCGATTCTTGAAGGACCCTTCTGGGGAGTGAGCCAGCATAGTTTCTTTGTTCCCAGGTCAATCTAAGCCCTACGCACTAAGACACGCCATTCAAAACGAAGCCAACCCGCCAGGTCTTGAACGTTTGTAAACCTACTCCTGACAGCCCATAAATCTCTCATCAGTTTGCATAGATCATCCGTAAGTATCCGCCCCCTTTCTCGAAGTTCTCCCCTGCGTGCTAACGCGTATTCTCCGTCAAATGCAATGATATAGTCGGGAGTTATCGATCTTCACTACAGGGGAGGCGATTATTCCCTTTGAGGCCCCGGTTTGAGGATCCCTCAAACCTAAACCCTACACCAGTTCCGTACAGGACCAGATAATTCAGATCCTCACGCCGATCTTCGGCCGCTTCGCCCAGGCGTTCCTCAGGGTTGGTGAGGGGCTTGTGCCCTACACCCTGAACCCACACCCCAAGTTGAGAGGTGTTGAGTTTGGGAACCCTAAACCCATATAACCCCAATATTACACCATATGATCCCTATGAAATTCCTAAATAGTAGTTTCAGTTGTCTTTTCCATTCTCCCTAAACCCTAAACCCTGGGGTCAAGGGTTCAGGTTTCGGTGGGCAGGGCTCATGGGGACGGGATGGGTTCAGCTTCAGCTCTCGATGTCAGGGCCTGGGGTTCAGAGTCCTTTTTTGGGAGGGGTTTAGGGTATAGGGCTTAGAATTTCATTCCCATATTAAGATAGAGATGATAGAGTAAAATAGGGGCTACAATGGAAAATCAGATGGAAAAGCAAATCGAAAATGACATGGAAACTGGGATTAAGGAGATTATAGGGATAGCGGATGTAGGTACCCGTTGGGATAAATTTTAGGGTTTATACTGGGGTCATATGGGGATAATGGAAGATAAAATGGAAACTAGTATAGTACCTAGCACTCCTCGATGCTGGAGCGCTTGGAGTACTGCAACGTATCAGACCTTGACCAAGATGCTTTACGTGCGTAGCCAGCGCAGCCTGAAATTCCTACGTGACTATTGTTGTACTTAAAGCGTCAGAGTTCGTAGTGTGCAGGCTCTTTTGGGGACGTGCGTGGCCTCAGGAAATCCTCAGACATTTTGCATGCAAGATTGCAAATCCTCAAACCTAAACATCCCTAAGCCTAAACCCAAAAACGTCACAAGGAGCGAGAGAAGAGCGAGAAGTTTGGGGACTTCCTGATCCGCAAGCAGATCGTCAAGCCGCAGCTCGGGTTTGCATGTGCTTGGCATTTGGCCTCTGTATTACTTGAACATGAAGTGCATGCATGCATATACAAACATATGTAATATAGATGCACACCTATACACGAAAAATTAGGTATGCCTAGTTACATACGTATATGCTGGGATCCATCGTGCTTCTTTCGCAGGCAGCTAGCAAACTGCGGCTTGTTTGTGAATTTGTGGGGCCCTTTTGGGTGGTCCCTCCTACCACTCGTGATTTAGAAAGGGCAACTGCTGTTGGCTGTTGAGAAAGCTGGCATTGGTGAATTGCAAAGCATAAAAAATCGAATGGACACGCAAACTGGCTTCGGGGTCTATATGCAATGGACTTCGCTTCAGGGTCTACTTGCCATCCACGTTCCTGCTTCAAGCATTATTTCCTTCAGCGCTGAAATTATGCATGTTGCGCTCGCCATCCGCCTCAGAACTCTAGCGGCGTTGGGGCAAGAGACTTGAAACGGAACTTGTTTGCCAAAAGCCCGCGACGGGTCCCCTGCACCATCAACTACGTGCGGTAGTGCATCCAAATCAGCCAAAGAATTTGCAATGAGAATCCATTACTTTGCGGCCCTAGTTCATCACAAAGCCTGATCCCTAAACTTCAATCCCTGAAGAAAACCTGTAAACCAAAGACCCGCGCCCTCAATTGGAAGCCTTAACCAAACCCTGAACTGTAAACCTCAGATTCCAAACCTTGACCCCTTTGCCTTAAGCCCTGAGCTCAAACTGCTACGTGGCAGTTTTTCAAGATTGCTCCTACACAATCCAGAGGGACCTCATTACTCCCGATGTTTCTAGGGGTTTTCTAAGCACGTTCCACGTGAGAAACCCTAACCCTGTAATCCCATAATCCCTAAACGCGCTAATCCCTAGAACGAATCATCCCCTGGCCCTACACCCTACAGCATCTATAAAGTTTTTTTCCTTTTGATTATCATTCCTGTTGTCTTCTACTGTTCACCATCATTGCTATTAATCTTAGTATGACCACGATGGGCTATTAGACCTTAAAGCTACCTTAATCTACCCCTTATAGGGTCCTCATAGGGCATTTTAGGGTCTCATAGCCCATAGT